TCTCTCTCTCTCTCTCTCTCTCTCTCTCTCTCTCTCTCTCTCTCTCTCTCACACACACACACACACACACACACACACACACACACACACACGAATAGCAAGACAGGGATCACGGAAACCGTTTTTCCTCGTTCATCCTTGCCCTCCTCTCTCTGCTTCCTCCATGACTCACGACTGTTTATTGCCACCATCAAACAGGTTCGCCTTATTCAGTTAGTGCCTCAGCATGTTAATGTCCCTCACCATCGTCCTACTCTCCGTCCTCCCCATTTCATGTTCATCCTCGACGTTAGTGTTCATCCTCCCCGTCCTCCTCTTCCCCCTTCCTTCATGACTCAACCATTTTTTACCATCCGTCTTCGAGGTCCACCTCTTCTTTGCTCTTCCTGCATGACAGTAACCCGCAACTTCCCCTTCATCCATCACAGACAATAGGTGGCACCGAAATGGCCACCCCAAGAATATCTTTCACGTACAGAAAGACAACCAGATTGGGATACCATCCGTCGAACCGACCGCCCCCATGTAATTCAGAATTATTCTTCTTCAGTCGTCAAGTTCATCTGAAACACGGTCTGCATTTCAGTTGCCTCATTGCATCTGGATTCAAACTCAGGTCTGCATTTCACCAGTTAAAGGGTGTACCAACTAAACTACAGTAGTCCCAGGTTTACATCTTGGGCCTTTCTGGGGTCCTCGCCCGCCTTTTCTTTTTCATTGGAGTCTGGCCTTGAGATATCATCATTGAACTGACCACCACCAGGTAATTCAGAAGTACCACCAACCGCAGAGGCAATTGCGATACTTGCAAGCGGCATGTTTTTCTTTCTGCTCTTTTTTGGTGGCGGCCACCTGCCTGATACTTCCTACGGCCACGCTTTCTGTTGTCCTTTTGTTCTTTCTTTTTGCCGCGTGTTTGTTTTTGCTTTGCTTTGGCGACGAGGATAGTTTCACAACCAAGCGCGGAGGCAATTGTGGTACTTGCAAGCGGCGTGTTTTTCTTTCTGTTTTTTTTTTTTTTTGTGACGGCCGCCTTTCCCACATACACTGGCTGATACTTCCGACTGCCACGTTTTCAGTTGTCCTTTTGTTCTTTCTTTTTGCCGCGTGTTTGTTTTTGCTTTGCTTCGTCGAGGAGGATTCTTCCACGACATGCGCGACCCCTTCCCAATATGCACGGCCTGAGACTCACCTCCACTGTGTTTTCTTTTGTGCTTTTGTTTTGTGTTTGGGTCTTGTCAAACAGCAATCGCCACGAATTGAGGTCAGCTCGTTCGATAGCCACACTATGAGGGCAACAAAAAAGGATTCCTTCGCAGTGTTGGCACTTACGAGAGCGCCAACATTCAGTTAGACTGCAAGGACAACAAACCGACAGACGCAACAACTTGCCGAACAGCGTACCCCCGCATCCCACTCAGCTATATAAGAGTGTTGGCAGGGACGGATGGACGTATGGTTCCCAGTGAGCAGTGGCAGTCCTTGTCTAGAAAGTTAGGTTGAGAACTGAAGATGAGTTCAGGAAATCATGCTCAACCCAACGGTAAGGCTGTACAATGAGCACCATGAGAGGCACTGACCACGAGGTGCACACATGACAAGCGTAGGAAGGCCCTGGCAGAAGACACGTTTGAGCAGCGGGCAGCAGCGCTGTCGTTCTGGGTAGCAGTGAACAATGCACCCAGCACCCTGGAGGAAGCATTGCAACCAGTGCGCTGCGTGCACGTGAGCAGGCCATAGCAGGAATGGAGGCACAGCATTGAGGAGAAGGATGTGAAGGTGGAAAGGGAGGTCTTCAGGAGTAGGGCAGTGTGAACGGGGAACACTTCCTGATATACAGCAGTAGAGCACCTATTGATCAGACTTTTCAGCGGCATTGGCAAGAAAAGAGAGAGAGAGAGAGAGAGAGAGAGAGAGAACACTTTCCTAATATACAGCAGTAGAGCACGTATTCATCAGACTCTTCAGCGGCATCTGGCAAGGAGAGAGAGAGAGAGAGAGAGAGAGAGAGAGCTAGTAGGCTAGTGCTGAAAGGGTACTGCTCTGTCATTGCATGGACGTCCGGAGAGGACTTTCATTATCAAGAAACTTCAGTTTCCTAGGTTCTTGCTCTCATCCTTGTCAATTCTGCTTTCATTTTGGTGTACCCATGCTTGCTGCTTGAAAGTTTTGTGATCTCAAATGGTGGTTCCTCGCACAACAGCGCACCATGGTCACGATAGCACCGTGCTGTGATCACCCGCAGCTGGTAAAAAATCGTGTGTAGGGAGAAAATAAGTAGGCATTGATGAAACATAGACATACCAAAAGAAACCGATAGTCCCCCTTTTGGTTTTGATGGTCACGCCGGAAAATTGCCTCTACCTGCATGATAAAGTGAGCCACACAAAGAAAAAGGGTGTCACAGTGAGCAAAACTCTCTCTCTCTCTCTCTCTCTCTCTCTCTCTCTCTCTCTCTCTCTCTCTCTCTCTCTCTCACACACACACACAACACACACACACACACACACACACACACACACACACACACACACATGCCTATTGTTTCTCAACGTCCGAGCCTACCTCTCCCCATCCACATAACCCCAATAGTCCACCTCTCTCAGGTATCTTCAACAACCCTTATAACCACTTCACTGCCCTCTTCAAACCTTATGCGCTTCACTGGCTCTCTGACACTTATCCACTGTACAGACTTTGAAACCCACCCTCTTCCCATCCACACAACCCCAATAGTCCACCTCTCTCAGGTATCTTCATCAACCCTTATAACGACTTCGCTGCCTCTTTAAACCTTCCGCTTCACTGCATCTCTGGCACTTATCCACTGAACAGACTTTGAAACCCGCCTGCCATTCTTGTTTGCCTCTTTAAACCTTCTGCTTCACTGCATCTCTGGCACTTATCCACTGAACAGACTTTGAAACCCGCCTGCCATTCTTGTTTCCGAAAGACAGCCAGCCAACCCCACTCATCTCCCTGTCCATGGATTACACCTTCAATCAATTGCCACCATCTGTACCTTAGGACTTTAAGCAGTTTCTTTTCTGCAAACTGGCCCTTTCCTCTCTTTTCATCCCCGCAAAACAGGTATCATCCACCATGTCCACCCAGCCAAGGCCACCCATCTCTCCTTATCGCCATACCCTACCCTCCATCCAACGTCAACAGTCAGTGCCTATGAGTTTCTTATTATGGAGCAGAATAGTAATACCACAACCTGTGCTGAACGAAGATACATTGCGGTCTGCATTACACCCAATGCCATACATCTCCTCGAGTACGGTGGACTGCAGAAAACTTGCAAAACTCGGACAAAGAAAAAATTAAAGCTGCCAAACACTTACCAGAACAAGCATAAGGCGCACACATGTGGTCTGCACACTAACGGGAAGCGAGGAGTCATGGACATTCCGCGAGAAGATATACACGATTCGTGAAAGCTGCAGCCACAGACAACATTGCACAAGTTGTCAGCATCTAATATGGTTTAAACTTTAAACGGATTGCATCTGTACTTCGATCACGCAGAGAAATAAAACTACTCTCATTAAGTGGGGCCATATTTATTAAAGGAATGCCAAGAAAAGTGGTTTCCGATCCTTTCATTGTCACAAAGGACATTTGTAGAGGTCAACTAGACAATCCATGGAGGACGTAATCAAAACACCATTAGCCTCAAAGGTTTTCAATTTCCAACTTCCTAAACTTCACTTTCCTTGACAAAGTTGCAGATCAGTTCGTTTTCCTATCTCCAAGGTCTATGCACGCCTGAATGGAATTCCACATGCAGGGTACATAGCCCAGCACAGAATAAACGAGCCGGCAAACACTGAGCATGCACTCACGCAGATGCACACACACGCACAATATTCGTCCAGAGGAAAGCAGAACAGTATGCAAAGCAACACAAGCAGAACAAGATGTGCAGACACAGAGAGCGAGAGAGAGTAAGAGAGAGAGAGAGAGAGATGCAGAAAGACATGCGTACATAAACACCGAGACAAACGGAAAGAGAGCAATATCGCTGCAACAAAATGCAAATCGACAAGTACTTATAGAGAGGGGAACAGAAGATGAAAGAGACAGGACCCAATATGTGTAGTTCCCTTTTGCCTGACCTGTGGGAAAGAGAGATCGCTTCGCACATAGTGAATCAACTCTGCCAGAAGGTTATAAGCCAGCGGCCGCAAGGTCTCAAAGCACGCCCGCCCAGTTCCAACTAATACTCTGTCACGAAAGAGTACGCACAAGCCACAGAAAACACCCAGCAACAACTGATCAGCACCTGATAGATACAGAAGAGCCCACCAAAAAGACACCCCCATTTTCTTGGTCACTTGGAAAGAGCAGCAAACACTCAGCGTCCACACATGACAGCCCCCACGTCTGCCAAGACCGGCTAAGTTAAGTTGGTTCCTGTCCCCTTGAAATAGCGCACCATAAGAAATACAGGAACGAAATGTCCTCAAGACTGCTTCAGAAAACTGCTACCAAGCGTCCACACATGATAGCCCCCACGTCTGCCAAGACCGGCTAAGTTAAGTTGGTTCCTGTCCCATTGAAATAGCGCACCATAAGAAATACAGGAACGAAATGTCCTCAAGACTGCTTCAGAAAACTGCTACCAAGCGTCCACACATGATAGCCCCCACGTCTGCCAAGACCGGCTAAGTTAAGTTGGTTCCTGTCCCATTGAAATAGCGCACCATAAGAAATACAGGAACGAAATGTCCTCTAGACTGCTTCAGAAAAATGCTACCAAGCACAGCAATGCAACCTCGTCAGGCGTCAATGAACATCTGACCGGCTCCCCAAGCGTTACTTAAACCACCAGTCCATTCGAAGCTAAATTGACAAACCAAAAAATGCACTTCGCCGAGCCTGCTTTTGACCAGTACTGCCAATTGGCTAATCTAAGGTGGTACCGTTACCGGCGATGTGTGCGACAAAAAAGACATGACATGCAGGCAAGTCTCATCATTGTGGGACTTTCTTTTTATTGTGGGCCCACCAGCCCACCCCGACCAAGCCTCCACCGGGCCCGGGCACTGTAGATTTTGGCCTGGTGCTTGTCAACAAGTAAAATCTAAAGTGACCCTGTTGTTGAACTGGTGGTTTAAGGTCACCAGCCAACTGACATTTCACGAAATGAGATGCATACACGAGTAGATTCTACTACTATGTATTCTGCTCATCAGGAGGTTGAAGCCCGCCAGTAGGTGTCGGGGTTCATATTTGCTGGCAGGAAAGGAAGTAGGCTGATGCACCCAAGACTGGCAATCGGTGTTTCATATTTGCTAAAGACAAGTCCACAAAGAGAGGGTGACTACGGAAAAAGACTGTTTCGTCGGACTTCCACTGACTCATCAGGAGGTTGAACCCCGACAGTCCGCGTGTGTTGTCATGTTTGCTATTCGCAACTCCATAAACAAATCAATACACTGCCAACCAACTCCATAAACAAAGCAATATGCTACCAAAAGAATTCGTTAGACTTTCGCTGCCTCATCAAGAGGTTGTGTGTGCGTGTGGGTGTGTGGGTGTGTGGGTGTGTGGGTGGGTGTGAGTGAGTGTGTTATAGATTTTCCCCACAACAGCCCCAATTCCACCCAGATAAATAGATTCAGAATCAAAGCAATCTTTGCCCTATTGCAGACAGCGAGAGCATTTGAGATGAGATAGTCCAACATTTTAAAGAAATTGTATAACTACTAAAATGAGACAGTTTATTGGTTGTCCTTGGGGTACCCCTTCCATTTGTTCTTGCAGCTCCCCTTTTACTGTGCCTCTTACGTACAAGGCTGCCTACATTTTTTTTTTTTTTTTGTGTGTGTGTGTGTATGTGTTTGTATGTGTATTGGGGGGAAGGGGAGAGCTGCAGGAGGGAGGAGAACAGGCATGACAGAAAAGATTTGTTGGAAATGAAAGTAAACTCCCCCCCTGCAGCGGGGTGCCAGAGTGATACTCCCTTCAATAGAATGGCACGTTCTTTCAGCTGTGCCCGGAAGACGAGAAAAGAATTCGGTACATCAGTTTAAAAAAATGGATCCCTACAGGGAAGATTAGCATGATGCTGCACTTGGATTGAAAAAAATAAAGAAAGAAGCTCCCCAGGAAAAAGAAGGGGAAACAGAAGCAAACTCTGAAGGACAAAACAGTGAAACGAATTACTCTTGTTGACTTCAACAGTTCAACCATGTATGCTCATTCCCCTTCCCTTTTCGACATTCGTGAGCGCATTAGGGGAGGCAAGAGAAAACTGAGAAAAAAAAAAAAAAAAAAAAAAAAAAGACGAACAGAATTCACAAAAGGGGTAAACGCGTACACAGACCGGTGAGCTTTGACAAATCCAAAAACTTGCCTGGAATACACCTGGATCTGCAGATGTCTATGCTAGCATAATTGGTACCTGGACATGCACAGCGCCAGGTGCATTCTGTGACCTGAATACTTCCCGTCCTTTTGAGTAACAATACGCTATAGCTATTTCTGCCTCCAACCCCCTTTAGGAAAAAGGAAAAACATAAAAACGAAAACCAGTGGAAAAAAGAAATAGAAAAGCAAGAACAGAGGATTGCAGGGAGGCTCAGAAAATGAACAGGACCATCATTATCACCTTTCTTCCAACAGCGTATCGATGTGGCTATAGAAACCTTGGCGGAACTCTGTGCTCAGCACATGTTTTATGGCTACCAACAGCTCCTGCAAACAGTTAGCAGACAATTAGTTGAACAAGACGACTCAGAGAGGCTCCACCGACGTCAGAACGAAGAGTACGGGAGAGAGAGCAACCACCGATTTTGTGAGGATGCAATCATGGGGAAGAGCTTCTGATCTAATGCAAGTATTCTTTAGAAGGAAAAACAAAGGTGATTGATTATATGATGATTTGGCCTCGCCAAAAGCTATGACACAGACATTTTATAGTTATTAGCAGTACATAAAAGCGCAACTATTCGATGGTTCAAACTGGCCATGGCCTTCCTGCAATGCTGGTTCTACCCCAATCTTTGATATGTATGTAGGGGGCTTTCGGCGACTGCTTTCCAAAGGTCTTCGATTGAGACCAGCACTGGACCATATTCGACTCAACCGAGTGCCACTCGCAACAAACTCCAAGATCCTCCAGACCTAATTCAGTCGACCAGTCCTGATTCAGGTAGCAAAAGAGCGTTTATGAGCTGGATTTCAACCTGGTTCATTCCAATCATACCATAGTTCTCTTGCAAGGGCTTAAACTACTAGTACATGCCAGCCATCAGCCAAGCGCCCCCTTTCGGAGGCTGCCCGCCGTCGATTTATTTTATCGACAGCGTGCAAGCCTAGGAGAGGCTCAATCGGACTCTCAACTTGGCTGGGTCCATGTACTGGTGATCTAAGGCTGCACACAGCAGGCAAATAGGGTTGCTAGACCCAGCGTCTCGGCTCTGAGGCCAAAGCATGGGAACCTGGTGTTTGAGTAGGAGGTGAGTTAAGAAGTCTGAAGGGGGTCTCTTCCCTTGTACACTCTCCAATTATATTTTGTGCTTCAGTTCAGAAAGAGGGGAAGCTTTGGTCGTTTCTTTGAACACAGAGTCCTTTCACAGGAGGGTACAAGTCAGCGTGGAGGAGGGTGTGCAGGCGCTTGAGGAGTGGGTAAACATGGCATGTTAAAAGAACACCAGCAATTTGTGCCTTGCCGTATCCGTTACTCTTTATCCTGTTTCTCTGGTCAGGCGAGGAATAACAGCACCATCCATGCATGATCCAAACTCTTTCCCTACTTCCCTCCCCTTCTTGACCCACATAGAGCTCGCCCTGTCATTGAAGGCGTATCTGGGGCAACTTTCAGCCTAGATACAGCGATGACGACCCGGTGTTCGATTCGGGTGAAGACGGTTACGGTAGTCATTCACCCAAAAAGGGTCTTGCTTGATTTTGTTTGTACATTGCACCAGTATGGCCTGGCCATTGGTTACATACTTGGTTTGCTTTCAATGGCGGCGGCAATGTGAGGTGGCGGGTCGTAGCAATGGGAGGTGGAACGCAGGAAATGGGTGGTGACGACAGGTGGACAAGTAGTGAGCCTCCGGCAGCGTCAAGCACAAAGCAACTTCATTCGCTTCTGCCCATGGCGCTGCCTGTTCACACAGCTGGTCGTACCCTCCTAGCTCTGGTCAGCAATCGCAGGCTGATTACGAAAATTTCAATTTGTTCCGCAATCTGGGTCTTTCGACCAACCGAAGGCCAAGATGGTAGGCCAATTATGAAAATTTAAATTTAAAGATCAGCTGGCGATCTACGCCATCCGTGTGCAGAAACAGTCACGGGCTGATCTGATCTTTTCTGGTGACTGGCCTGCAATCTAGGCTGTTGGTCGTGCCCAGAGGCCAGAGGTGGGGCCCTTGTGAAAGTTAGAAGCTCCCTACAGCATTGTCGACAGTAATGGTAGACGCTACCCCTTTTTCTAAGAAAGATAAGTGGGGGACAGAAGGGAAGAACGAAAAGCAGAATCCAGAAGACTATCAAGACTAACACATCAGAGGTACCTTTGCAACAACCAAACCCACCGGCCCATCCAATAGTGAGAAACCACAAACCCATAAAAACAGTCTACTGGGCCTTAAGGACCTGTTTTATTCAAAAATAATAATAATAATAATAATAATAATAATAATAAAACAGTCTACAGTACAGAGAAGAGGTCAGCGATTCACCTTCTAGTTCAACAACTGATATAGGTTCACTGATGCACATCACATCCAACCCAATTTTTTATTGTTGACACAAAAGAGAATGGAGCGAAGAAATCCCTTTGTCCACATACAGCGGAAGAGGCACACACCACACAAGAACATGGAACTCACCTTTCTAATCAACACATTATCGGGGCAGGTGACAAGAAGATTCACGATACTCTTACAAATGCTATCCTGGTGCTGCTTTATGTACTCCGTGAACGACTTCAGAAGATATGTCAGAAATGAGACAGTCTGCATCGACATACAAACATACAAACCAGATACATCAGAACTGAAGGCAACCAGCAGCCAGCCACACAGACAGGCACGCATTCATTCACTCAGACACAATCAAAAGGATGCATGTGATAAAACTGCAACTCTCTCTCTCTCTCCCTCCCTCTCTCTCCCTCTCTCTCTGAAGGCAATCACCAGCCTGCCACACAAACAGGCTCTCTCTCTCTCTCTCTCTGAAGGCAATCACCAGCCAGCCACACAAACAGGCTCTCTCTCTCTCTCTCCCTCTGTGTGTGTGTGTGTGTGTGTGTGTGTGTGTGTGTGTGTTTGTGTCTGTGTCTCTCTCCCCCCCTTCAAAAAATATATGTATAAATTGAGAAAAGTCGAGGGTTTTGACAGCATGCATCCTTCTCAGGAATCATGACTGCTCATGGACTGTCATAACATTTTACAGTGACACTTGCCAGGTCATTCACCCCCGGCCTGCTAAGCCTCACCTTTACTTGGGCGGCTTTCATGTCCGAGTATGTCTGCTTGAGATCTGGAAGAACAGTTGTCGGTCCCGATATCGCAATTGCACTGACCATCGATGGCAGAAGCTTTGGTATGTTGGGCTGCATGTATGCCTGGTAGCACTGAAAGAGAAACATGACTATCAGCGGGCACTCGTTTACCACCTTGAACGATCGTGTGCTGGGATTTAGCTGCCCGGCAACCGGTCCTCTCTGGCTTGGCCCACTTGCTGTCATCTGTGTGTCTCTAGACCCATGGGAGAGTCCCGATAAGCTCTGGGTCTGGCCCCCTCCACCCATTTGTGCATCTCCCACAGCTTGGTCCTCGAAGAAATAGGCAACGGTTGATTTGAAATTCTGATAAATCTGCATACAATAACCAACGAAAGGATCACACACAGAAAACGAAGTTCAGCGAAGGCAGCGAAGGTAATTCGGTTTTTCACCTTTGCAGTAACAGATGCAGATCCCAGGGCTCGATCCCTAGACCTTACCACACCCGTGTACAGTATCGAGTCGACCCCTATGTGTTTGAACCCGTGACCTGTGTTTTAGTAGTTGACTGTAGTCTGTCGTAGGTCTGTGTAGCCGTAGAGGTTCGATCTGTAGGTATGTCGAGTAGGGGTCATAGTTGTGTAGAGGCCATATCTGTAGCAACTCTGAAAGGTCAAGGTCGTAGCTGCTACAGTCCTGAAAGGTCAAGGTCGTAGCTGCTACAGTCCTGAAAGGCCAAGTCCACAGACTTCCGGAAGGTCCAGAAGTGGCCTTTCAAGTTT